GTGACACATCAAAAGTGCCACCTTGCCTGGCTAGTTTGGCTCAGTGGATAGAGCGTCAGCCTGCGGACTGAAAGGTCCTGGGTTCGATTCCAGCACATGCCCAGGTTGCAGGCTCAATCCCCAGTAGGGGGCGTGCAGGAGCAATTGATCAATGACTCTCTCCAATCATTCATGTTTCTATCTCTTTTTTCCTCTCTGAAATCAATAAAAAAAAAATAAAAAAAAAATTTAAAGTGCCACCTCTCAAGTCAAATATTAGCCCATTTCTTTCAGCTCCAGCCTTTTGTCTAAGACATAAACAATAGCAGCAGCAGTTGGCTCACTCAAAAATACACTAAGACCAACAACAGTTCCAGCATCCTTGGTAGCCTAACACTGATCACTGAAGTAAGCAGGTACCATAACAATAACATTTCAGTAGCGGGCTTCCCAAGGTTGGCAGGCTTTTGCCATTTCCTTCATTTTTGTCAAAATCATAGATGATGCCTCTTCTGAATAGGATAGAAACTTTTTATCTCTCCTTTGTATTCTACTCAGATGTTGGGCATTCACCACCATGAAGGGCCAATGCTTTATATCAGATTAGATAATAGCATCAAAACTATGTCCAATCAAGTGATTGGCATCAAACCATGTTGGTAGATTCACTGCAATTTGATTCTGCAGCACCACCAATAAATCATGCAGTATCAATAAAGGCAACATAACTTGGTGTGGTTCAGTTTCCCTGATCATTGCCAATTATTTCCACTTTTTCACACTTGAGACACCCACACAAGAGCTGGGGGGTACCAAGATCAATGCCACCTGCAGGTGCCTTATACAATATTGCTTGAGTATATGTGTGGCTTGAGAAGACCAGGATCCAGAAAGCTGGCCACTTTCAATAAGCCTCCCTAATTACTAAAAGTTTTTCTAACTCATTTAATCTCCAAGCAATCTAGGAAATCATTCAAGGAAAAATACAAAGAAAGATTAAAACTGGACCACACTATGTTAAAGTTAGCTTCTATATTTAAAAAAGAATCATAAATGAAATTTAAAAATTTAGAAAACATGTTAGGATTAGCTCATATAATATAAATCAACAAGAAAAAGACTAATATACAAAAGAAAAATTGGCAAAGAACAAAAAACTAAAGAAATATAAATAGAAACGTTTGAATAATTCTACACTGCACTGGGGGGTGGGGAGAAAGGATATAAACTAAAATAATTGAAGGACATTTTCCCCAAATATACAGAAAATTTTTGCAATAAAGATATTCAAAGGTGGTAGTACAGAAGAACGCTCCATGTACACCATCACTTATACAAAAATAGGGTATGTAATATTTACCTGGAAAAATACATAAGAAACTGCTAATACTGGCTGTTTTGGGGAAAGGGAAACTGGTGACTGAGGAACAAAATGGGAGAGATTTTCTATTATTTACTAAATTTTAAATTTTTATTTGTAAACCATGTGATTTATTATTTATTTTAAAAAATAATTTTAAAAAACAAACAACTGAACATGGGCCCTGGCCACGTGGCTCAGTTAGTTGGAGCATCGTGCTGTGCACTGAAAGGTTGCAGTTTAGATTCCAAGTCAGGATATATACCTAGGTTTTGGGTCAGAGCGCATACATGAGGCAACCGATCTCTCTCCGATTCCACCATTCATCTCTAAGAATCTATAAAAACATATCCTTGGGTAAGGATTAAGAAAAAAAAATACTTGTCATGGCAAAAAAGTAATGGTAAATGTTACAGTTTTGACAGCAGTAAAACAAAAACACTACTATCGTTATACAAAGTTTCTTAAAAGCAATTTAACCTTATCGAGCAACTGGGTTTTCTTTTTGGACTTTCAATTCTATTCCACCGACCTGTATGTCTATCCTTATGTTACAGTTTATATTACAGTGGCTTTATAAATAGTAAGTTCTGAAATCGGGAAGTATGGAGTCCTCCCACTATGTTCTTTTCCAAAACTATTTTTTACTATAGTTTACATAAGGTCCCTTGCAATCCCATATGAAGTTTAGGATCAGCTTTTCAATTTCTACCTAAAAAGCCAATGAGATTTTGATGGATTGCAATAGATAGATTAACCATTAAATCTTCCAAGTTTTAATGAATACTGGTGCCTTCCCATTTACTTAGGTCTTCTTTAATTTCTTTCAAATGTTTTATAATTTTTAGTCTTACACCTCCTTAGCTAAATTTATTCCTAAGTATTTTATTGGTTTTGATGCTATTATAACTGAAATTGTTTTCTTAACTGCCTTTGCAAATTGTCCATTGCTTATGTATAAAAATACAACTGATTCTTATGTGTTGATTCTGTGCTCTACAACTGTACTGAATTCATTTATTAGTGCTAATAGTTTTCTTGTGGTTTCTTAGGATTTCCTGTATCTAGGATCATGTCATCTATAAATATAGTTTTACTTATTAGCTTCCAATTTGAATGTCAATATCAATATACAGTAGAGATGCATGAACTAAAGCTATGTGTATTAACACAAATCTAAAAACCATTACTGAATAAAAATCAAGTGGAAGACCCTGGCTGTTTTTGCTCAGTGGTTACAGCATCAGCCTGATGACCAAAAGGTCCAGGATTCGAGTCCTGGTCAAGGGCGCATACCTTGGTGACAAGTTCCCCAGCCACAGTAAGAGGTGAAGGCGGGACACAACTAATCGATATGTGTCTCTCATGTCACTGTTTCTCTGTCTCTCTCTCTGCCCCCCTCCTCCCTCTCTTCTACTCTATCTAGAAATCAATAGAAAAAAATATCTTTCAGTGAGGATTTAAAAAAAAAAAAAACTGGGAAAAAAAACCTACAATATACTATCTTTGAAATAAAATTTATAACCCTATAAAATAAAACGTTTAGAGAGTATGGACATACAAATATGTATTGAGAAGATTAAAACATCAATGAGAAAAGTAACTCAATTCATAGTAATCTCTGTGAAGGAAAAAAGGGGTATACCCCAGGCATCTCAACTACAAGAGAAATCTTATTTCTTAAAACAAAGACACAAATATGTCATAATTTTAAGATTTGCTATATTTGAGTTATAATATACTGGTGTTTGTAATATTATGCTCTATACTTACCTATTTGAAATACTTCATAAAAAAATATTTTTAAGAAAAATAAAAACAAAAATACAGGATAGAATAAAGTATATTTACAATTGTTCTTATGGAAAATAATACATTAATTAATAAATAATACAAGAATAAACTCTGTGTGTTATGTACTCACAACTGTAAATCTACTTTTGAGCCACTCTGTGGAGCCAAATGTCAATTTTTTTTTTTTTTTTTTTTTTTTTTTAAACAAGGAACTTTTCACCAATCCCTCAAGACAGGACCTTTGCTTTCCTGTGTAATTTTTACAGTAATAAACACCATTTGGTCAATGAAAATATCTGCAGATGACCCTAGATGATAAATACTGGATTTCAAAAATAAACACAAAACTAACCTGATTTGGAAGAAACCATGAACAAAACAAAAATTGCTTATCAATCCTAGACAGTTTGGTTCAGTGGATAGAGCATCAGCCCAAGAACTAAGGGCTTGGGTTTGATTCCTGTCAGGGGTACGTGCCTAGATTGCAGGCTCAATCCCCAGCCCCAGCTGGAGCACCTGCGGCAGGCAACAGATGTATCTCACATCAATGTTTCTCTCTTTCTTGTCCCTCCCCTTCCCTTCCACTCTCTAAAAGAAAAAAAATAAATAAATGGAAAAAATATCCTTGGGTAAGGATTCACACACACAACACACACACACACACACACAAATTTTTAATTGCTTATGAAGTATGGTACTGAAAATAACTAAAGATCAACATCACACCTTTTTTAGAATTTAACAGAATTGCAATAGAGTTCTTTTAATAAGCTTTTCATTCTTAATAGAGTGACTTCCTCATATACAAAATGGCAAGCGTGTAGACAAGCATGTCAAATTCATGGTCGGCATTCTCCATGCCACAAAGGGGCCGGCAAGCCGTGAGTTTGACATGCTTGGTATAGAGCACTCAGGATTGTCACAAAATTATAAAAATGTTCTGGAATTAGAGAGTGGTGATGGTTACACAACTCTTTGAAAATGCGAAAACTACTGAATTGTATACTTTAGAGGTTAAATGTTATGTCATGTGAATTATGCCTCAATAAAGTAATGATTCTTCATTAAAGTGGCATTCCAACATTCCAAAAAGCTCTTACCTCTCTGTTTTACTACAATCTCCATAGTCCTGAAAATCAGAAACTCTATATCTTTGGACTATATCTTTGGACTATAATGGGGCAACAAAAAATCTGTTACTCTACAACCTGAAAATTAAATTTTCTCACAGTATCATTTAAAATGTTGCTGGCAAGGCCTGTGTGGCTCAGTAGTTGAGCATCAACTTATGGACCAGGAGGTCAGGTTTGAATTCCCAGTCAGGGCACATGCCCAGGTTGCAGGCTCAATCCCTAGTGGGGAGAATGAAAGAGGCAGCCAACCCATGTTTCTCTCTAATCGATGTTTCTATCGTTCTCTCCCTCTCCATCTCTCTCCAAAATGAACAAAAATTTTTTTTTTAATGAGTGACCGTAGAGTACTTTTAAGCACATTTTAAGCTAAAGATCTACATTTTTCTTTAATGGTAGAATGTATTTGTGAAAATTCAGGTTGCCAATTACTTCTAAAAACCTGTCCACCCCAGAAAATAACTTTTTCTCTACTCGAATAAATTCTAAAGAATGGTTTCTAAAGTCCTTAAGGATATAGAAACATTTCCTTATCTCTATATAATACTCACCAGCTTCAAATTTAAGCAGAATCTAGTCAAGTAAGACAAGCATCCACATGCCAAGAAATCAGTAAGAAGGAAGCAGGCCTGTGGGGACGAAGTATACTCCACAGAGTCTAAATAGTAACCACCTATGTTCATACCTTACTGGAAAGAAACAAGGGTTTGACTTGAGGCTCAAAGCTAGGCACAAACCTGTTCTTCTTCTGTAAAGGGGACAAGAGCCAATGGTGGCAGGGGCTCCTCCTGTAGGATAGGCAGAAATTCTTTATCCAGAAGGTCTGAAGGTATCTGTTTGACCAAACACATGACCATGAGATTAATGCTACCCCTCCAAGTCAAGAAAATAAAACAAGAACTCTACTATTTTAATCTGTTGGTAATTATTATAAACTAGAGGCCTAGTGCATTTATTCATGCACCAGTGGGGTCCCTCAGCCTGGCCTGTGGGATTGGACCGAAATCAGCTTTCTGAAAACCCAATGGGTCCTGAATTGTGAGAGGGCACAAGCTGGGATGAGGGACCCCACCAATGCACAGCTGGGGTTGGGGAGACACACAGGAGGTTGGCCAGCTGGGGAGAAATTGTGGGAGGGCTCCAAGGTGTATCTGCTTGGTCTTGCTCAGTCCTGATCAGCTGGAACCCAGTAGCAAGCTAACCTACCAGTTGGAGTGTCTGCCCCATGGTGGTCAGTGCATGTCATAGCAAGCAGTTGAGTGGCCTTAGCATATTATTAGCACATTACGCTTTAATTGGTTGAACAGCCAACTGGTCAACTGGACACTTAGCATATTAGGCTTTTATCGTATAGGATATGAATAAAAAGCTTACTTGGCCACAATTAACTTTAGTGGTACTTACACATTCTCAGGGATCGAATATAAAAACCCCAGTTACCCTCCCAACCCTCCCATAGAGCCACCACTTTCAGATTTGATACAGTAATAACTGTTAACCCAGAGTACACAGTGGGAGAATAAAAATCCCTACATTGGCCGAGACCGGTCTGGCTCAATGGATAGAGCTTCGGCTTGGGGACTGAAGGGACCCGGGTTCGATTCCAGTCAAGAGCATGTATCTTGGTTGCAGGCATATCCCCAGTAGGGGGTGTGCAAGAGGCAACTGATCAATGACTCTCTCATCGATGTTTCTAGCTTTCTATCTCTCTCCCTTCCTCTCTGTACAAAATCAATAAAACATATTTTTTTTAAAAAAATCCCTACATTGAATTCAAGGCACAAGATGGTAAGAAGAATTTTACTAGCAACTGTGTCTGTCAGTAGCAACCATTAACATCTGAGATTCAATCATTTAATAAATTAAAAACAAGTATGCTTTGAAATAGAAAATATGATCTCTCACTAGTCAAATAATAAAAGCACAGTTAATACTGTCGGAGTTTTGATCATTTGTTTTACACAAGTGTGGCATTACATTTTAAGATTTTTCTCTCCGCTAAATATTTTACATTTAGCTCAAAAGGGAAAGAAAAAGAGAAAAAAATGCTCTTCTTTCTAATTGGAAAGAAGAATAAGAGGTGCAATAAAAAGAAGGGAGAAATTCTTCCTCACTCAGCCATCAAACTGGAGTAGAAAAGAGATGAAAGAAAGGTTAAACGGAAACTAGTTACACCAAGAGTGTCCATCTCAGGTAATCAGGAGGCTGATCCATTGAACCATATGACACCTGGCATTACAAAGTCACCCTACCAACTCAGGGAAGCAGCGAAAATGAGGAGACAAGGAAACAGATCACAAACGACAGAAATGGAGGAGAACAAATGATTGGACATAGAGTACAAAACCACGGTTATAAGGTTTTTCAAGAATTTCATAGAAAAGGCCAATAAGTTTAATGATACCCTTGAGGATATGAAAAAGGACCAACTAGAAATTAAACATACATTGAATGTCGGAAGATGGCGACCGAACAGTCGGACCTATTCTGACTCTGGTCCCAGAACGGATAAAGGGGGCTTCTGAGTCGCTCAGGGAGAGTTGATTGGCAGCTAAGGGACAGCGGAGCTCTCAAGGAGGGTAAGGGAGAGTCCGCTGGACAGGATTTCCTGACCAAGTGGCCAGGACGGCCGCGGCAGCAGCAGCAGCAGCAGCAGCAGCAGCAGCAGCAGCAGCAGCAGCGGCGGGGGCAGCGGAGGCAGCGTGCGGTGGGCTGCGGGCGTGGAGGAAGGGCTGCATTGTCTTGCCAGGAAGGAAAGAGCTTCTATGAGGCGTGGAAAACGCACAGCCCGGAGGTCCATCGAGCAGCTGAGACTCCCAGAGCTGCGCAGACACGTGGATTCCGGGGAGATCTTCAGTCACCCACGGAAAGGTCAGAGTTTGCGGGGATAGCCTAAGGGATCTGGGTTCCGCGGCGGCGAGCTCCGGCCCCGCCTCCACTACGGCAGCCGGGGAGCTCCGGCCCCGCCTCTGCTACGGTAGCCGGGGAGCTCCGGCCCCGCCTCTGCTACGGTAGCCGGGGAGCTCCGGCCCCGCCTCTGCTACGGTAGCCGGGGAGCTCCAGCCCTGCCTCCACTGTAGACGGGTGCGCGAACTACAGCCCGCGGAGGCGGAGCGGAGCCCAGAGAAGGCTGCAGCGACACCTAGTGCTGGGTTTGAAGTAATCCCCCCCAGAAGAGGGGCTTTTTTAAAACGCCAGGGGACAAGGGACAGTGTGTTAAGAATAGCGGCTGTCCCGCCAAGGGCGGAACATCTGGACACCTTGGCACCGGTTCCCATTCATCCCCTTGCTTCTGAATACTAGAGAAGAACTGCCCAGTTGGGCATAGCCGGGGAAATTGTAGGGGGAATTTGCCTTCTGGAAACAAGGGATTGGAGCCAGAAGACATAGTCCTGGAGCCAGCTAGAGCCATAGAGAAAGAAGGCCAGAGCAACCAAAAAGACTGGGAGGTCAAACCGGAAACACTGACACCTAAGAGCCGAATTACAAACTGCCTTTTTTTTTTTTTTTTTTTTTTTTTTTTTTCTCTTTTTTCTTTTTATTAATCAAAAATAAACGGACACAAATAACTAAGATATAACCTGCTTAAAATTAAGGTTTACCTTACAAAACTCAGGTGCAGTGGAATGCTGGGGACTGCAAGACTGTCTGGTCTGAGAATCAGGAGTGCCAAATACATTAACAGAGGAAGTGAATGACCACTACTGGACATTTTTATGCTAATTTTACTATTCTTTATTTTATTTTCATTTTTTACATCTTTAATTTAATTTTCACTTTTTATAGCATTTACTTAAGAAAAATTTTTTCTATTTTTTTCCTTACTTCATTTTACCTTTTCAATTATTACATTTTTCAATCTTTATCATCACTATTACTACTGCTATTTTGCAATTTTTGTTTCTTTCCTTTTTTTTTTTTTTTTGTTCTTTGTTTTTTCTTGTTTGTTTGTTTGTTTGTTTGTCTGTTTGTTTCCTCTCCAGTACCATTTTATTTTATTTTTTTTCTGTATTTTACATTGGGAATAACCTCCATTCTATTTTAATCACTACTTTAGCATCATTCAACCCTATCTCAACTTGACCTTTACACCATCACTCTCTTACTAAACTTTACCCTTTTAGTCAACGGTTTATCCTATCCCTTTCCAGCTCTAGATTTTCCTATATTCTTTCTGTATACCCCTTGCTAAAGCTCTCACTATACGTATAGACCTAAGTTCCAACCCCTGATCCAAGTGTATAAATACCAATTTCTGTACTATATTAACTAGTTAAAAAAAAAACAAAAACTGTTCTCCCCTCTATCCTTTGCGCATTGTTTGTGTGAGGGTTGATTATTGTGAATTTTTATGCTTTTTAGTGAAATGGTTATGCTTATTCCTGTGTTGTTATTGTTGCATTGTATTTTTTTTTTAAAATCCTCTGTTTTTGTTTGTTTCTATTACTTCTGTATATCATAGACTTACTTAATAATAGTGGATATTGTAGTTTGTATTAATCTCCAAGTATTGTTACTGGCATTGGCTGGGTTCAGTAGTTGTTCTATGGCAATTTTCTCCACATATATATAGTTTGTTTCCCATTTCTCTTTTAGTTTGCTTCTTCTCTCCCTTTCTTTCTCTCTCTCTCTCTCTCTCTCTCTCTCCTTTCTTTTTTTCCCTGTTTTCCAACTTTATTTTGTCATTACTTTTTTTCTTCTCTTTATATCTCTTTATCCTTCTTTTTTTATTTTATTTTCTTAATTTTTTTTTACATTTTAATTTTATAAAAAATTTTCTTTATTTTATTTTTACCTTTCTTCCTTCTCCCCTAACCCCTAAGTTGCCTTTCTCTAGTGGTCACCTTTATTTGAGGTTATTAATATTGTAAATACATTCCTGTTAAGTGCCTCTTGTGTTGTACCTGGTAGTGTTGTATATTGTACCTTTAAATCAACGCAGCAGAAGGAACACCACATAACCAGACACCCTGAAAAGAAAGGCTATGGGGAGACAAAAACATAGTCTGCACATAAAAGAAAAGCAGGCATCACCAGAAAAGGAAGTAGAGTCAGAGGCAACCAGCCTAACAGAGCAAGAATTCAGAATAATGATCATAGGATGGCTAAAAAGAATGGAAGAGAAATTTGACAATAACCAAGAAGAAATGAGGAAGAACCACGAGGAATTGAAGAAGAACCAAGAGGAAATGAAAAATGACATCGCTACCATGAAGAACACAATAGAAAGCATCAAGAGTAGACTAGATGAAGCAGAGGACCGCATCAGTGAGCTAGAAGATAAGATGGAAAAATATACCCAAGTAGAGCAACTTCTAGAAAAAAAGATTAAAAAGCAGGAGGAGAGCCTACGGGAGCTTTGGGACAATACAAAACAAAATAATATTCGAATAATAGGGGTTCCAGAAGGAAAGGAAACTGAGGTAGACATGGAAAAAGTATTTCAAGAAATAATGACAGAAAACTTTCCTGAAATAGAGAAGAAAAAACCCACACAAATCCAAGATGCTCGCAGAGTCCCAAGCAAAATGAATCCCAGAAAACAGACTCCAAGGCATATTATAATTAAATTGGCAAACAACAACGACAAAGTAAGAATCTTAAAAGCAGCCAGAGAGAGACAGAAAGTTACATACAAAGGAACCCCCATCAGACTAGCAACTGATTTCTCAACGGAAACTTATCAGGCCAGAAGGGAATGGGATGAAATATACAAAGTCATGCAAAGAAAGGGTCTGAATCCAAGAATACTGTACCCAGCAAGGCTATCAATCAAAATTGAAGGGGAAATCAGGAGCTTCACAGACAAAAAAAGACTGAAGGAATTTATCTC